CAAAATTCCAGTTTGCGAGCGCAAATTACTGCACGCAAAATTGGATCTTGATAAATCCGGCCCTAAGAGTAGATTGGTTGGAAGAACAACCAATCTTGTTTGTTAAACCAATTTTGGTTAGATTAATCAATATATTGGTCCAAAACTCCCCCACCCATTGGTCTTGGATCAACCAATTTAATTGGTTAACCAAACAACCAATAAAAATTGTAACTGATTTATACCACTCTGACTGGCTATAGTTAAGTGTTGTGCAAAATAGTTAATGATGTGTTCATTTACAGAATGCAAATGATGGCTTTAACCTTGGTTGTAATACTTGTAACCAGTATTAAATTCCAAGAATTGTTAGTGGTGACAGTAGCATCGGACGCAGGAGTTTGCCCTGTAACCAAAGGTTCTAGTTCCTGGCTCTCGCTTCACTGTTATTACATTAATAATTCAATATCTTGGTCAAAGTGACCAATTTGTATTGGTTTACCCTTTTAACGATATAGATTGGTTAAAAACAGTATCCAATTAGAACACATAATGCCCAACCAGATTGGTAGAAGTTTAGTTGCATTGACTGATCTGTTTATAGGGGGAAGTATTAAAAAAGACTAGACTAAATTAGACTAGACTAAATGCTCTATATGTTTTAAATTATTATTTGTAAAAAATGTTGAAAACCATGTACCTTTTTCTTGTGTACCAAGTGTTGAGAAAACTCTGCTGGAAAAAAGATTTGCAAACTTGTAAATGAAATGCTGTAAAAATTTCAGATCCAACATCTCTTTACATTAATGTAAGAAACTTCTAAAGTGAGATATAAAAACAGGTTCTCGGTGTTATCTTTATGAAATGATAGGTCTACAAACTGCTAACATGTGATTAATGGCCTTTTTTATTTTGCTCTGAAATTACCTATCTTTTATCTTTAGTATTGCTTTGTTTTGTTCTTTTATGTTATGGAACTAACATTTTACTGTGATGTATTTTGATGGTTAAAAACATACAGTAATTATTCTAGAAAATGTCCTGAGGGAGGATTTTTACATTCCTTTCCCCTGTAAGAGTTCAGCACCTTGATGCTCATGTTTAGTGTGTTTCTGTTTCTACTTTTTCACATGCCCTGTTTTCCTTGTTGGAGGGCAAAGAAAAACAAAACAACAGTGAGACCTTATCCTCATGTCCGTTTCTGAGAGCGAAAGGATGTTTCAAGTCCTGTTACAGGAAGACCCAACCTCCAAACATTCATCAGTGGTGTAAAAACTGTGTGTATGTGCGAAGCTTCTTGTACCGTATGCTCAGCATCCTGAGTGACAGTCGTCATGGCAACAAAACAAGTTTATGCCCCAACATGTAAACATGCTTTTTTAAACATCAAGGTTGTGTTTTCCAGCTGGCAAATGATAAACCAGTGAACGCTTCCTCCTCTTCTTTCGTCTTTAGACTTTGTGATTCGTGGTGATTGTGTGCAATCACCACAAAGGATGTCAAAAGTCCACTCGTTGATGAAAAAGTGTTTTCTGTATAAGTGTGTGAGCATTTACCACCTGCTGGACACGTAGATACGATCAAGCATGCCTGACTCAGAAGTGCCAGTGTAAACATTCGCACACTCTGAGATAAGTGGAGGAAATGGGTCTTTTCGAGCCCTTGTTTGCAGCTGCAGAGCAGAGGAATGACTGCTTGAATCACACACTGCAAAGAGATGAGAACGATGCTGACGAGAACACTTTGCAGGGTTATTCCTTGCTCAATGACCCTGTGTGTCATGACATCCCTTACTGTAAACTTTGTTGGAATCTGCTGCGTGGGAGGACAAACACTGCCTCTCTGCCAAAAACCCTCACGTGAAATGTAGATGTTCCATTTTCCTATATTTATGTTTGTCAAAAGATTTACGTCAAAGAGGTTCCTCAGCGTCATATGCATGATGTTTCTGCAGCACATACAACATAACCTACACCATGTCCTTTTTAGTCATTTGATGGTAGCACCTTGAATATATTTGAAAGGATACTTCTTTTAACTGACTTTTTGCAAAATAATTATTTTACATTTGTTTAGTGTAAAACTATATGCAGATTTTCAGTTCTTGGTTTTACCTGCAGATTCCAATTTCCAATTTCTTTCTTGAAACATAATCCATGCATACATACTGATCATCAATACCAGCTATATATATCTATATATAGATATACATAGATATATATATATCTATATATATGAGATACTGCGCAGAACCCTCAAGCTCCCAGGCCTTGGAGGAAAAAGGGGGGAAGACCACTCGTGATGGGTGAGGAAGGGTTTTTTTTTTTTTTTTATATATATGTATATCTACATGTGTGTAAATGGAATCTGGGCCAAGTCAACACCTATCAGGATAAAAAAAAATCTATCAATATCTCCCCAAAACCATTTAAAAATAATGAGCCTTTTTGTAGATATGAGAGACACGTAAGGGGCAGTGTACCGCAAAATTAAAACTTGTCAGCCAATCAGAACCCAGTACAATCCCTACTTCCTGATAGGACTGAATCATGGATCATGTAATTAAAAAATCCATTAAACAATAGTTACCCCTTTATGAGGCAGCAAAGACATACCATGCAGACCATGATGCACCGGACATTGATAACCATCTTTTCATGTAAAATTGCAAGCCTAAAACCTGAGCATTTATAAATCTCAACTTTAGCTGGAGTTTTTAGGATCATGTGTCAGAGGGCATAATCATATAAAAACGTCAACATTTCCCCAGATATCATGTTTTGTGTGGACAGTAGAAATACAAGCAGCTAAACTGAGCTTTCTTCCCAGAGTAGCTGGGCTCTCAATCCCTTAGAGATCAGAGACTCAGGGTAGAGCCACTTGTCCTCCACATCAACTTTTCGGATGCCCTCTGCATGCCTGTATGGAACACCTCCAATGGGAGTAGGCCCAGGGGATGACCGAGGACATACTTGAGGGACTATGACTCTTAGCTTGCCTGGTAGAGCTTCAGGCTTCCCTTAGCAGCGCTGGAGGAGATGTCTTGGGAGAAG